TCCGCACTGCGGGGAGCGCCGGGCTCCTGGCGCGGGGCCGCCTGTGCGGGGCGTGCCCGGTCCCCCGTGCCGGGGCGGCGCTGCCCCGTGTCTCCGCGCTCCTGCGCTTTGTCCGTCCCCATTTTCGTGTTGTTAAACCGCGGCTTTCTCTCCGCTGCTCCCAGCCGGGCGGGCGCGGGCGCGCTGCTCCGTGGGGTGCTGCCCCTCGGGGGCCTGGGGGCCCCTGCTTTGGGAGCCGTTGGCTGAGACGTGCCCTCGGTCCGAGTCCTGGTCTGGGAGTGGTGTTAATTACCTTGAGTCGGGGCGGGTCTTTCTGTCATGGTGTCCGGTCTCCGAGGAGAGGGGGGTCCCCTGTGCCGGCTGGGGCTTCTCCTGGGCTCCAGCCCTTGCGTGCTCTGGGCCTTGGCCCGAGGTGCCCCAGCCGCACCTGGCCTGTCCTGCTTGGGGTCGGGGGGACGCTTGACCCTGTGGGTGCCGGGAGCCAGCTGTGGCCGGCTGGTCTCGGGGCCTGGCAGAAACGTGTCTTGCGTGGGGCTGGGGGTGAGCAGTCCCGGTGCGGGGAGGTGTCCTGAGCTTTGCACTTGCAGGCCGTGGTTTTGCAGTAGGGGCCTGCGGTGCCCGAGGCTGCTTCTGCCTGTTGCCCTTGTGTGTCAGCTGCTCCTAAACTTCCTCAGTAGGGGCTGGGCCTGGGTTTTGGGTGTCCGGCTCTTCTCTCTCAACTGTGGTGGGGCAGAAGATTGAGTGTGCGTCTGCCAGCGGTTGCTGTTGCCCAGGCCTGCGGTCGTGGGCGCTGCTTCTTTGTTCTGTGTTGGCTTAACTGCTGTTTTAAGGATTGGTTTACTAGCTGCAGCCCCCAAAACACTAGGAATTACATTTTTATTGGAAAAGTATTTATTCAAGTCCAGGATTTTTAGGTACCCTTTGAGTGCATACTTTAACACAGCATCAGCAATTATTTTGGGTGCAGGGCCACTTACCAAGTGGTGGCACCTGCTGTAGGCCTGCTCCTCGATAGGTGCCCTGCCCCTTGGTCGCTCTCCTGTGGCTGCGAGTCCTATCCCCTAACCCTGACCTTTGCCACCAGAGGTCCCTCTCTCTGCCCCCTGGAAACACTCCTTTCAGGAAGGGTTTTGCCATCTCAGAAGCAGAAAAATACTGAGTTATATTCTAAAAAGAGAACATCTACAACAATGGCTAATTTTATTAAAAAAAAAAAAAATCAGTAGTTTGATTTCAAGAGTCACTCTTGCACTCCCGGGGCACTGGAAACCTGTCCAGCCTGAGCTTCTCTGAGCACAGCCAGGCTTCCAGAAACCTGTGCACCATTGGATCCAGGAGGTGCTGCCTGTGAGCTGGGGCTGCACCCATGCAGCTAGCACCTTGCCAGGGCAGCCCTGGGGGAAACCGCTGCCGCGGACGGAAGCACGCAGCCCCTGCAACTCGGGGGCTGTGCAATCCACAGCAGCTCGTATTGGCAGGCTCGGGGGGGCGGGGGTGATCAGTAAGGGGCCTGATCTCCTCCCCTGCCCCCCTGCCTGTCTGCATCTGTGGGCAGGCTCCAAAGTACTCTGATTGTTTCATTAAGCATTGTGATTAGCTGCCGAGATAACCCATCGGAGCGCTCTGGACAGACAGAATAAGCCTCTGGAAAGGGGAAGCTTATACAGAGGATGACTGGTTCCTATGGAGGGGGTGCGGGGTGGAGTAGAGCTGCTTCTGTAACTCTTTGGGTGGGAGTTGTCCTGCCATCCCTGCTGTGAGGACTGTAAGTGGAGTTGCCTGTAACTTTTTTTTTGATTGTGGGGGACTGGGATGTTGGTTGGCCTTTCTGCCAAAGTTTCTAGGGTCTGAGAAGCAAGTGCAATGAAGAGACCCAGAGCTGATGACTCGTGGAGGGTAGAGGAGAGAGCAGGAGGCTGGGTGTGTGCTTTTGGATTCCCTGCCCCTGTGCCCTTGGCTGCCTTGGAGGCTGACATGGTAAGAGCCGGGGGGAGGTGCAAGCGTGCTTGGAGGGGTGTAGGATTGTCTTTGATTTGTCAGTTTGTTGCTTTGTCCTTTCACCTTTTGGTTATAGCGATTAAATCTTTCCTATTTGTCTTTGCAGGTTAGGAAGTGAGCAGGGTTGATGTGGAAGGTGGAGAAGGAGCAGCGTGGCTGTGTGAGTAATGGCTTTGAGCCTGAGGTGGTTGACAGGTGGCTGCATAGCCTGTGTGTGAGCAGTGTTGGATGTGGAATATCCTGCCTAGGCAAAGCACAGGGATGGCTTTTGCGAGTTTGGAGCCACTGGGTGGTGGGTCCTGGATGTGTGTGCATGCTGCTTGGGAGGGATTTCCCCTGCTTTTCAGTCTGGTCTTGATTGACCCTTTGGGCTCCATGGCTTGTTTTCTCTCATAGGATCCTGGCCCTTGTGGAGAGAGTTTAGGTTGGAGATGGATGCAAAGAAGTAGAGTTGTGCCATGGTGATGGAGGATAGAGCAGGAGGAATAGCGTGATGGAAGATGGGCTTACGTCAAGTGCGGGTGGTGTTTTGGCTGGGGGTGTCTGGTTGGGCTGCGAAGTCCCTGCTCTGTGTTGGTGTCTTGAGCTGCACGCTTCCAGGGCAGGGCTACTCAAGTGGAGGGCCATGGCACCCAGGAGTGCCTCCGAGATGAGTGGTGTAAGGCTGGGCTGGCTTGGCCCAGAGTTGCTCTGAGTCTGTGCAAAGATGGAGAATCTCCAGGTTGTGGTGGGACAGAGGACTGGGTCTCTGCCTAGCTGTAGCTGTTGCCACATGCCTCCTTTCAGTGCTGGGAATTGCATTTATGTCTTGTTTCTCTGGGTGTGCCACTGGTGTCTGTCTTTGTACCTCTGTTCTTAAAAATCACTGCAGCACTTGTTACTTTGTTCTTCCCAGGACTGAAAGGAGGGTTGTGTTTGCACTTAAATTGATCCCCTCACTTAGGAGGGGTCTAGCTGCAGCCCCCTGCGGTTTGTTTGTGGGGGCAGTGCAAGCTGCTGTTGTAGCCCTGCTTGGGAGGGAGGGGGTGCTGTGAGACCTGTGCATAGCGTTGCAAGTGTTAATTGCTGTTGTTCATTTTTGGTGGTGTGGACATGTTTGGCAAGATGACCAAAGTCTGGTCCTGAGAGGAGAAGAGCTGAGGAAGAGGTGAAGAGACCTGGAGCTGGTATGGTGTGGAAGGAGTTGGAGACGGCATGAAGCCATGCTCACTTGATCACGAGGAGTGAGGTATTTGCTTCTGGCTGGTTGCAGCTCTGGATGGACAGATCCTGCAGTTGGTAAGGGGTTGCTTGGAGCAGTGTGGGGTTGTCTGAATCTAGCAGTTATTCCTGCTTTGCCCTTTGATGTTTTTCATGCTGAGGCTTTTCTTTTGCGCTCTCAGAAGATGCCTGCATCCTGTTTGGGGAAGGGATGGCAAACATGAGGACTGACAGCGCACGAGGGCTGAAGGAGCATGGTGATCCCAGGTGTGGTGAGTGCTGGGTCTCAGGGCTGAGGCCTTCCCCCTGCTGTCTGCCTACCCTGTGTGTGCCCATAGCAGTGTGTTGAGGTGCTCCCTTGACCGGATGTGTGGGGTGGGAATTCCCCCGGTGGTTTCCTTTGCCTGTGTTTTGTTCTTCCACTTGAGGTGAACACATGTTCTCTGTATTTCAGGGTCCTGGTGTGCGTGGAAGGAAAGGGTGAGGGCACAGGGACCGGAGCAGAGCAGTGGTAACGGAGCCAGAGGATCAGGATGCTAGAAGGTGTTTTGTGTTTGGGATGGGGGTTGTCCAGGTGTGGTGGGAAGGCTCAGGCAGGGTGTTGTAGGGATCAAAGTTCCCCTTCTCTGTTGTGGTGGCATGCTGTGGCCAGGGGTCCCTCATCTGGCTCTGCATGAGGCTTGAGCATCTGTGCCTGTCCCTGCTACTAGCCGTTTTGACTCCCTGAGCTGGGTTTGGTCCAACATTTGGGTGCTGGTGTCTGGCCCTCTCCAGGTTTTGCTGGGGCAGAAGATGGTGCGCGTCTCTGCCTAGCTGTTTGTCTTGCCACAGGCTCTTCCACCGGTGCCGGGAACAGCTTGTCCTGTGTTCGTGTGCCTTTCTGTTTGTCTTGTTGTCTTACAAGTCACTGCAGCGTTTCTCTGCTCTTCCCAGAACTAGCAGGAGACCTACCTGTGTTTGCACACCTAAATTTGCTTCCCTTGCTTGCTATGGGAAAGCCCTGAGAGGGCTCTGCCTGCACCCTCGCAGCTGTTGGGGGGGGAGTTGCCTGTGGGGTCTTGGCAGGGAGGGTCTGCTGCCCCCAGTGCTGTGAGGCCTCTGAGTTGTTAACATTGACAAGTGTCGTCTTGTGCTGTGTGTGTGTGCGCGCGCGCGCGTGTCCAGAGGAGCCACCTTGCCAAGGCTTCAGGCACTGAAGACAAGGTGAAGAGATGGCGGAGGAGGAAATAGGCAGCTGTCTTGTGGCTTCCCAATTTGTGTGGCGTGAGGCCTCTGCCCCTGTGACGTCACCTGTCTGGAGCCTGCGGTGGGTTTGAGATTCCTTGGGGCGGTGTGATGTCTTTGTCTTCCTGTCTGACCACTTGTTCCGCACTTGTTCTTTCATGTTTACAGGAGCTGTTGCGTGTGTATCTTTGCAGGTCATGCTGTGTGTACAGTGGTCACTGTGATACATCACGTTTTGATTGCCTGTGAATATCCAGCTCCGGGAGGCCGCAGGCAAGCCTTTGAGAGCTCGGGTAGTGAGTAGGGGGGCCGGATGCGTGTGCTGCGGGGGTGGGAGAGGAGCTTTCCTTGTCTCTGACTTTGTGCCCTTGCATCCCCTCTTTGGGCTGACACGATTTCTGTTCTTTTTCCAGAAGCCTGTATGCATCTTGTGGGGGAAGAGGGATGCAGGGAGTTTTGTGCCATGCTGATGGAAGATGAAGCAACGCAATGCTTAAAGGTGGCTGTGGTTAGAGTGGGGGGGCAGGGGGGTGAGCGTTGTTTGCCCTGGGGTTTTTTGGGTGAGGGGGGAAACCCCTAATGCCTGATAGATAGTGTCTTGAGCTTCTTGTTTCCAGCGGGGTTTTGGCCTCCTGGGTTGCCCCGGAGCTGGGTGGTGTAAGCCTGGGTTGGGTTTAGGCTGCCTGCGAGTCCTTGTTCTTTGTAAAGGCTGAAAATAGCCTTTGAGTACGTAGGTGGTTTCAGGGTTTGCCCCTGGCATGTGGGTGCAGATCTTGGCCTTGAGTGTGCTGAGGCAGAGGAGCGGGTGCTTGTGTCCCTGCCTGTGCTGCCCCTGGCCTCCTTTCAGTTCTGGGAACTGCACTTTGTTCTCTCTCTCTGGGTTTGTCACTGGTCTTTCTTTCTAGTTTGATTTTTAAAATCACTGCAGCACTTTTTTTCTTCTTCTTTTGCTTTTCCCAGACCTGGAAAGCGGGCCATGTTGGCACCTAAATTGGTTCCCCGCTTTGGGGAGGGGCTTGACTGCACCCTGCCTGCCTTGTTTGTGGGGGTTGGCCGTGTGCTGCTTTTGGAGCCCTGGGCTGTGGGGGGTGGGAGGGGTCTTCCCTTCAGTACTATGAGAGATGAGTACTCTTCTATGTACTAATAGCTTGTTGTTTTGAGGTGATGCTAATGTTTGGACCGTGAGCGGAGGCGAGGCGAGGTAGAGGTAAAGCGACCGGGAACCACAATGATTTAGGAGGCGGAGGATGCAGGTGACTGCACACCGACGGTGACTTCTGGGTCACCTGGCAGGAGGG